CTCAGGAAGTAAATTATTCCCCCCTGGGATGGCTCGCAGGCTGATTCTCAGAGGTATAGATGTCCTTTGGTGCCGCAGTGGCTAATTCCTAGCTGCTTATGAAATCTTGAACTCTAACCCAAAGAGTAAAACCTCCCACAAACATGGGGAAAATGAGGTAAGACCAAGGGATGCAGCCTCTGATTACACCTATGCAGTGTATTTACCTCACGCTAGCAAGGAGTAAAAGGTGGATAAAATGCACATGGATTAGCCACTAACAGTATCTGACCAGAGTGAGTGTGGAACCTAGTTCTGCCTGGACAGGTGCATTTAATCTGATTTAGGAACTGCACTCACTTCTTCAGGTTTTCTTCATAAACATGTGCACACCGAAACCACAGCACTTGACACCTAGACATGACATGGAGGAACCTGAGTCGAACTCATTTTGTATGCTTGGAGGATGCATGCAAACCCACAGTATCGCACACCAGTGAAGCATCCTCAGCCCTTGGCCAGGGTAAATTTTGAGCCAAGTCTCCCTTGCTGTTCTGTTGACAGTAGCGGGGTTCTGCCCTCCTCCAACAAACGCCTATTAACGTGAAGGAGAAGAGATCCAATCATCACAAACTGAGCACGATGACCCTCAGAGTAGCCCACATCTACATTAAGGAGCTGGGAATCAATTTCTCACTTGACAGACACGTATTAGCTGCTGCAACACACACCCATGCACGCTCTTACATCGCTGCTGCTTTTGTAGGGGCCACACCAGGAGTAGGGACTGGATCTAGCCTCTGAGTAAACAGAGAAAATGCCTACTCTGAGAATTCAGGCACTGGCACTAAAACAAGGCTCCAAACAGCTCATCAGCAGTGGGACACAACTTTGGCAGATCAGTAGCAGGAGTAAGTGCACCCAAAGGTGTTGGCAACAGCTGAGGGGCTCATCTGCAGCTTTGTATTTGTGGGATTAAGCACCTGCAGAGGCACATTTGCATCCACCACAGCGTTCATTGCAAACCTGCCCCTCGAGGATCTGTGCCCTTCTTCCCACTGTCAGCTTTTTCAGTGAGTGTAATCCTGGCGCTCTCAGCCTATGGAAAGATCCACCTCAGCTATAAAGTATTCCCTTCAGGAACCATAAAAAATTAATTATTCAGCAGCATGAGCCTTAAAGAATTTATTTTTGTTTGGCAGAAAATATCAACAAGCAAATGACAGTGCAGTGCTCTGCCTTGCCAAGACAAGGGGAAGGTTCACATTAGGGTTTAATGTCATGGCATCGAAACAAAAGCCCTCTTAACTCAAAGTCTGTTTAGTATCAGCCAGATTGAAACCAAATTCAGCTTTTGTTCTGCAAACCGCCTAACCATACACTACGCTCTCTATATGAAATGAGGCTTGCCATGCAAGATACAACCGTTCCTGCCAAAGCCAACAGGAGATGTTGAGGAGGATCCAAATGAAGTTTTTGATACCATGTGTAGCACATCTGTTTCTAATGTTCCTGCATGCCGTTTGTCTGATCACATAACGCAGTTCACCTACATCCAAGCGCTGCGTATGCATCTCTCCCTGAAATGCCCATGGCCATTCATGGGCACAAGACCGAAACCTTTATGTGCTGGGTAGAAAGGTCGGTTGTCCTTGCTACGCTATGGTTCTCAACACATAGCAACAACATGCTGCTTTCCTTTGTGTGCTGGGTAGAAAGGTCGGTTGTCCTTGCTACGCTATGGTTCTCAACACATAACGCTGCTTCGTGAAAAGATGCACGCAGGCCAGCCACAACAGTAGAAATACAATCGCTACAAGAAGGAAGTATGTTGATTATGTTGCTGCCCTCAATGCTCCCAGAAGATACCCACACTGGGGTCCATCCACACAAGCAAGGCTGAGCCATAGCACAACAGCAAGTAAATGGCAACAACCTATCCTCTCTGCCATCTCGTGCCGTGGGAGAGGAAGGGCGTGCTGTGGAACCAGACTGACGCTGTCGGCCAGCGCCTGCTGTATCAGCAACCGCTGCTTCCACACAGCATCATGCAAGTAAAGAGCATTTTGGTGCACGGCAGCAGTGACGCAAACCACACGGCAGCCTGCAGGCATGCTCCTAAGGCCGACTGCAGGTGTGCGCACACACGTGCACCCACGGGATGGGTTTTGACCTCTTATTTTTCAGTTGCGCTTTTGCTGCTTTGAGGCTTTAAGGATCATTAAATAAAGTTGCTGATTTTTTCAAATACTTAAGTGCCTACCTGGCCTTCTTGAAAATTTCTTTTTTCCTCACCTCGGCACTTTTCTACCTGTACATATGTTTGCTGTGTGGATGAATGATTTAGTATACTGAGCAATGTAAAACCATCTTGTTTGGGGTTTTTTTTCTTCCTCATATTATATAAGCCAAGCAGGCTGTAATTTGATATTCCCATGCGCTTTATTTCACGTAATCCTCAGAAAGACTACTTAAAAATGAGGTCGATGAAAGCAAGTGTGAAGGTGCAAAGGAGCGGTATTTTTTTATTGTTTACTGCTACACTCAGGTAACGCGAACTCCACGAATGACGAGATGCTGCTTTGCTCTGATGGAAAAGCTGGAGGCAGCAGGAGGGCTGAATAAGCATGAATTCTGCACCAGTCCCTTCGGGCTTGCGCTGCAAATGCCAATGCTGCGGCTACAGCAGCAATGTAAACATGGGGCCTCAGCTCCAGTTAGACCGCTCAGCACCAAATATATTCTGATCCTCTAAAATTATAATGGAGTAAGTGAAAAATACATAGGTGACAGCTGAAAAAGTGTTCCTCCTATACTAAGGAATCAAGCAGAAAATTTGCATTTACATTGACAGAACGGAGAAATTCTGCACTAACAGGCAGTGGGGGGAGAAAAGTAATTCCCATTTTTCATTATCACCACTCTAAATTTATTCTGATGGATTTCAAAAACCCAAAAGCAAAAAGTCAGTTTTAAAGAGAAAAAACAAACAAGTGCCTTTGTTGAACAAGTCTCCAATATAATCTCTGAAAGGAAGCACTGTTGTGCAGACAACCGGTCTTTTTAACGGAGAATGCTGACAATGGCACTTTCTTTAAAAAGTCCTTTGTAAGAAAGTGCTCTATTAAAACAAAAGTAATGTAAAAATAGCTTAATTAAAAATTAAATAAAATGCAAGAGCAGTCTGCTTCCTCTGGTTAGTTCGGCTCCCAATGGTTAATGCTGTGTTTTGGAAAATGTCTGTAGGACACAGTAGCATTCTCAGTAAGTGCGAGTCTGTCATCCAGTCACCTTAACCACACAAACACACCCATTTAAATAACAAATCATAGACACTGCCGATTCTGAAGAGCATTAGAAAACTCCATAAATGCAGGGGTTTGTTATGCTGCCCTGAGGTTCAGATGTGAATATCTTGCAAATGATTTTATCACCCATCCCCTTTCTTTCCACTGAAACACTACAACTTCCTTTGCTGGCACGGAGCAAGTGAAACCCGATCTCTGAAGAATGAGCTATTACTGCAGTACTAATAATACTCTCCCTGCCTCCCACTAAGATTTGCAATGTTTTAATGAACAACAGAACAATATTTGAAAAATAACTCCATATGTACATTCTGTAAACAGACCTCAGGCTCTTATACAGATTTGACCTGAAGTGCACTGTACTGTACTGTCTCCACAAAAATGAAATTTTAGTCGAGTACAAAGAAGTACATTTATATGCAGGCTCTGAAAGCAAGTGCCGAGGGTTCGTCATGCAGCAAAATTACTTCTCTGCCCACCCAGGATGGAGTAGGACAGTCTTCTCCTTTGCTGCAGTTTACCGTTTTTTACTGAGAGGTGATCAGCGCGTGCTGCTGGGCTTCAGCCTCTGCTCACGGGACCTGTCCTCTCTCGTACCCAAACACGACTAAAGGTCACTCTCACTGGCCCCACAAGTCTCCTGTCACTTGCTGCACCGCAGCACAGCTTCAGAGAGGACGGGCGCCAGCCCTGCTGGCCCCAGGCAAGGGGCTGGTGCCCAGGGCACTCTTGGGGGGCACTGGGGAAAACCCCTCAGCTTGAGGAGACCATTACAGCTGGGTCACTGGCTTCCTCTGTGGGGACTCCAGACTCTGTTACGGAGAGCACGGAGATAGACCCCAGCTGCTGCTCAAAGTATCTGGAGAGGTAAATCTCTGCACTTACCATTTTACCAGCTAGAACCAGGTTGCTCCCAACTCAACAGCTCAACGTTACGGGTACCCCTTCTGAAATCGCGAGCTGGTCCTGTGCACTAGGCACCTACCACAACCCTTCAGAGTCACTCTGGGCTGAGGCACCAACAGCCTGGGTGTTTTGGGACTAAACTTTTAGTTTCCCATGTCATTCATCACATCTCACACCTGATGCATGTAAAGCAAACACCTCGCACTGGAATGAGACAGGGTGGTAGAAATAACCTAACAATACAGTGAATCTTATACTTGAAAAGCTCAAATAAAGCTTCAAATACCAAAGATGGCTCCAAGGTCTTAATACATCTTTTAAAGTCATCATTACTACAACCCCAGCTGTAAAAGATCACCAAATTAATTCAACATTTATTAGCACATCAGGCATGTTAGATGCACGATACACTAATCCAGCACCTTTCATGGAGAAGCGACTCGCGGGATACTCTGCGTGGCGCACTCGCGCCGTGTCTAACTTAGGGTCACAGCTAACATTACTTCTCCTGCTGAAGAGCCTCTGACCCCACTAATAGCTCTACTGACCTTAAGTGAATCATTGGAGGAACACATTACCATTTAACATAGGACAAGGCAGCAGGACCCAGCCCTTAATGACTTATATTTTCTTATTTTACTTGGCAGTTGTCCTTAAATTCATCTAACAACTTCTCTCAGATGTTCCTTTAAAAAGAATTTCATTTTTTTTTCTCCCTGTTAGTTAGCACAATTAAAGACTACTGGTTTACCTTAATGGAGTGATTTTTGCTTAAGTTGTCTGCACTCCCTGAGGAGTTATACTTACATCATGCATGGAGTCAAGAAGTTTAGTCAGTTGGTAGAATCTCTGCCAGCTTTGCCCAGAGTTACTTGGACATTTAGTTACCATCTTCTTTAGCTCTTTAATGTAATTTGCCCTCATTTCTTCAAAGGCAGCTTGGCTTTTGAGACCATCCTTGGGAACTGTCATTGAAAAGACAGTCTTAGATTAATATTAACTGTATTGCTTATTCTTTTGATGCACATACTTACAAAAAGTTACACTAGTTAATCGATGAAAGAATTACACCTTTAAGCAAAGTCCGTAATTTAACAGACATTGGTAAGGAATCAACAGTATCATACAGATTTTCAAGTGATTCAAGCATCCTCTCCAGATCTGTGATTGTAGAAGCTGTGGCAGAGGACGAGATAACATCTCAGAAATACGACACATGCTAACCTCATGCTGAAACTGTTTTTAATACAACCCAACCACAAAAAAAAAAAAAAAAAAAAAAAAAAAAGAAAGCAGCAGATGGATCAAGGATATTTTTTTTAGAAGTTGAAGACGTGATTTATGATGAATGATTCCCCACACTTGGCAGAGGAGGGGAAGGTAAAGAATTACAGCTGTTATGTGCAGAAATGCTAGACCAAGTGACACGTTTTTATGCCATCAAGTAAAAATCTAAAATTTCTTTGAATCTTAGTAAGCATCTGCATAACACCTAGAACAAACAAAGCCATTATTCTGCATGAAACAGAAGACTATTTTCCAAACAGGCATCCTGACCCAGTGTTTGACCACGACATACAGTTGCAAGCATTTCTAGTGTCCTATCAAAGTTCCCATCTGCCAGAGGGATCATTTCACAAATGGGCTAAAAGAGTTTTCTGATACTTTTTACTGTGAGTGATATCAGCAAGGCTAATTACAAAAGCAAATACACAAGACCTTATTGCAGCCTATCAGTACTTAAAGGGGGCTTATAAAAAAGATGGCGGCAAATTTTTCAGCAGGGCCTGCTGCGACAGGACAAGGGGGAATGGCTTTAAACTAAAGGGGGGTAGATTTAGACTAGATATAAGGAAGAAATTTTTTATGCTGAGGGTGGTGAAGCACTGGAACAGGTTGCCCAGAGAGGTGGTGGATGCCCCATCCCTGGAAACATTCAAGGTCAGGTTGGACGGGGCTCTGAGCAACCTGATCTAGTTGAAGATGTCCCTGCCCATGGCAGGGGGGGTTCGACTAGGTGAGCTTTAGAGGTCCGTTCCAACCCAAACTGTTCTATGTTTCTTTACAGACTGCAAACACCCTTGCACTCCAGCAGTTCTGCCCCAAACAGGAATGGCTTATAGGATCAGATCTCTAGGAAAACCCCAAAGAGGTTTTTAAAAACATCACGCAAAATGTTCTGGTGCTTTAATACCTGGATTGGTTGAATACTGCTTAACCATCAACCTTATTTTTCTACTCTGCATCTCTTAATGATAGTCCACAGAATGAAAATAAAATACTACGCTATACAAGAGTGAGTTTATTTTCTAAGCAAACCAGAAAGGTATGTCAGAGTAAGCTAAATGAGAAGTTACTTATTAAAAAAGGAAAGAAAAAAAAAGGTGATCTTCCAATTTAGCTTACCCTGACTTAACATCTCGACAGAAATTGTCTTGTTCATCCGTCCCCTTCTCTTTGAAATCCTGTGAACTGCCTTCTATTCCACTGCAATCACATCATAAGCACGTAACAACCGCTCAAATGGCTCCACAATAGAAGCTTTAAGAAAAAGCACCAGTATCTCCTATCACCAGTATCTACCAGAGCAATTTAGCAATGGAAAACAAGGAGGAGCTCTACCACCACATGAGCAGCAAGGACTTGCGACCATCAAGTGCTGGAAGGGGGCACAAGGAGGAATCTTTAGAAAAAGCCTAGGAGGAAACGCACCAACCTGCCTAGCACTCAGTAAATATTATATATTTATATTATATAAACATAATATTTAATTTTTAAATTCTAGATGCCAAATCTCTCAGTCAGTCAGCTGACAGATAGAAGAAACTGTCTGGAACAGAGGTACAAATTCAGTTCAAGCTGAATGACTACTGAGACACCAATCAAGATGAGTGAAGCCATCAGAGCATACTGTGGCCCTTACACAAAATGCACGGGCTTTACAGTTCCTTTAGTATTTACAGGCCTGTATTCCTACATGCTGCTTAAAGACTGTTAGAGCCACTCTTTCTTTGTCTACTACTACGTATTTTACTGTTCTGTCTGAAAATTATTATACCATCACCCCAGCCAGATTATTAAGAAAGAAAGAAAGAAAGAAAGAAAGACCACAAATAAAGAGAACTCAAGCAAAACATGAAATTCTGGAGGTTTGCCCAGTGTTTCTGATTTTACTTATTAAATGCAGCAATGCTTTTGGCAAGCTCCCAAAATCTATGGTCTGTGGAAAGCAAGAAAACAATTGAGTTGTAGTTGTAATGTGTGGTTTCTTCCACATGTAAATGGAGTGAAAATTCCTTGATGTGGTTATCATGAAAGTTTCAGAATAACTTGTACTCTGCTCATCACACGATTCAATAAAAAATTTTAAATGAAAACAAACCTGGTGTTTGTTATAAGGTTGTATCAAGGTGCAATCATTCAAAACCAGGTTTGCTGCCCTTCACATGACACTTTCTGGGTTTTATCACTGTCTTCATTTCCATTTCGCGCTCTCTCTCTCATGTAAATATCCTGATTCTCCCAAAACAAACTATTTTTAGTAGGTTTTCTAGTGACCGTGGTGTGCGTTTCAAAGGGACCCAGCTAGTTGAAGTTAATTGGCCAGGCTGATCTTGCCAAACAGATTAATAATAATAACTCAAGTCATTAGTTAGTCTCAAGAGGGTAGAATAAGAAATACCTAGCTTAAAGAAACTTTGCTATGGCTTTACAACACCTTTAGGCTCTTTTTCTAAAGATTCTCCCCCTTCAGCGCTGATTATGAAGTAGCAGAGCCAGATCTCCAATCCAGACACTCTCTCAAGAACATTTTGGGAGCTAGACTCCCCCGAGCAAATCCACGTTAAGCACTGCTAGTTGATTCTGGAAAGACCGCGAGTGACAACCTTCAAAAAAGCCCATTTACCCCCCAGGGCTACCCTGGAGCATACCAGCTCCCCAGTCCCAGTTTCACCAGCAGACCATCTCCTCGAACCCTCGGTGGAGCGGGACCCAGTGGTCAGACCCTGTGGGCTGGGACACAAAGCGCTCCCCAACCAGTGTCATCTCTCCCCATCCCAGGGAGCTGGAACGGCTTCAATGGGAGGGAGGGAGGGAGGGAGACAGCTGAACCCAAAAAACTTAACAGCTCCAGGAGGTTTCTGTTAGCGGATCCAAATCCCCTCCAGCCGGAATGGGAACTGCAGCTTCACGTCCTCCTTCAAAGCCAAGTACTTTAACCACAGAGCTACCAGCTGGGTGGGACAGGCGAGGTCTGAATGAAAGGCACGGTGGACAGGGAGAAAGTGCCCATCCCACCACCTTGCCTGAAAGGGTTGCCACTCAGCTTTGCTGGATGCTGCAAATCCCTTCATAAGCACCTAACTCTGCCTGCAGCCAATGTGCCCATGCCATGGCTGGGGACTCGGGAGGCTCCTGGGTGTCTAAATCTGCCGCTGCATCAGCCCGCTCTGGTGTCCTTTAGTGGTTTCAGTGATAAGCGCCTTCCAGTGCTGCACAACTAACGCCTGCTGCTTGCAATTATTTTCTTCTCTCACCTTGCTGGGGCAGAAGATGGGGTGATGGGAGAAGACAGCAAGATCTCAAAGGGTTCGTTGGGCTCTGCTCGCCACTGAATGGGGAGACGCTCTGTGCAGCATGAGCCCGGGCAGCCCCCGGCCCCGGCCCTGCTGCTGACAGCTTGCAAGTGAAAGCCAGAATAAGCACAGCGGCCCCTTTGATCTCCCGCTCCTCCTCTCCCCGTGCAATGCCCCCACATCCAGCCTCCTTCTGCCAGGGGAATTCTTGCCTGGTGAGTTCACTGAAGTGACATCATGAATGCCCACCAATCGAGCTGATGCATTATCTCATCATGATGTCACTGAGTGGATCCCACAAAAAGGAGCATGATTATATGAAGAAAGTTTGTTTACAGGTAATTGGCTTTTTGATCAAGACTGATGAAAAAAGTAATGTACAAACTGCCTGTGTATTTATACAATTGTACTGGGACAGGAGTTTTTCAATATTTTCAGTAAGGTAAGATCAAGAGATCTGCTAATTACTACACAGTGCTGAAACAAACACCAAGATGTAATTTTGTATCATAAGAAAACTCAAAGCATGGCACTCGAGAGAAAAATAAAGCGTGCACTGTCATTTATTAAACTTTCAGAGCCCTATAAAAGGGCTTACCATTCTCAATTCACTCGGCATTGGAAAATTACCCATTTTGCAGTACAGGCAATGTACATCTGTCAATCTTGAAGGTGACGTTAAGTCACCCAAACTGGTGGCTTTGAGTGTTGAGTGGGGATTTCTCCCCAGTCCCCACAGCTGTTGCACTTTGGCACGCCTGGCCGACTCGAGTGGTTCCCGTACAGAGAGGGGGGCCAAAGCCCCTTGCCCGGCCACTCCTGTCCTTCCAATGCACATGACACATTCAAGCTGCAAAGACACTTCCCATGCTAATGGAGAGTGAGATCTGAAGATAAGCCTGGTTTTGTGTCTTAGGTTTTATTCCTGCAGCCCTGCTGGAAACAGTTTGGCTCTTTTGTCACATTAGTTAAAATCACTGCACCTCTTTGCGAATTGGAATATTTTCAAGTATTCCCATGTAACCACGAACCTAACTTACCTGTGCTTAACAGCAGCAAAACTTTCATTATAGTGTACTCCTCAAAGCTAAGCTGCAAGCGAACAAACTGCAGACTGATCTGGTGCATCCCCTGGCACAGTTCAAACATAGCAGACTGGCGCATCCGTTCCCTGCAAAAAGAAAGAAACAAAATCCAGAGGATAAATACGGGAGCGCGCAACGTGCACGGGGCAGCCCACGCATGAGGAAAGCGAGGTGCGACCTGGAAACCAAGCACTGATTGCGCAGAGGTCAGTAAGACACACCGCAGCTACAAAGTTCAGGTTAGGTAAGGGATCTGGGGACCATGAAGACGAAGCTGGAGCCCTGCCAGCCCCGGAGGGCTGCCTGGTCCCCATGCTCCTGGGCTGGCAGGAAAAACCACTGCCTGTGAGCTTTGGGGGACCTGGGCATCGCCTTGCTCAACTCCTACACCATCCACAATGGATGGCTGAGTTCACTTCACTACCTGGCAGGCCACAGGCAGCATCAACCTTCACCCCCCTAAAAGGAACAGAAACAAATGTAATTTGAGTTTTATACACTGATGATGTTAATGAACTGGCAAAAATGTTTTAAAATGTGTCTGAATTGTCAGCGTTTGTTCAGCTCTGCCCTGGCTGATGAAAATGAGCTTGCTGAAAGGGTCAGAACAGGGGAACCTACACCCATTGCACGCATGTTTTAAATGATACATCCCCCATCAGCTGACGTACAGGTAGAAACAGGTTTCAGAACTGTTTGGTGCAGAGATGAGCTGGGGGAGAGGATGGCCAAGGAGGACTGACGGCCTCACACCTGCAGCCCACACCACTCAGAACAGTCAGCCCTGGCCCCAGCCCAGCAGCCTCCAAGGCTGCCTGCAGCCACGGACAACAGGAAAACCCATGGCAAAGAGCTCCGCTGCCCACCGTGCACGGTCAGGTCCACAAGCCAGCAGGGCCCTAGGATCAGGGATTTCCACCGTGCCAGCAGACATCTTGACTCTTCTCATCCTGAATAACACAGTCCTGTAAAAATACGGCTGGCAGGTCTGGAAAATGGGAAGTGGTTTAACAAAAATAAAATAAAATGCATGACTTCGTGTTACTGCCTTTATGTCTACTGAGGAGTCTGAAGTTAAGAAACAATTGGGATGACCACTGCCTCAGCCAGCAGCACTTATGCATTCTTCCCAAGTAACCTCCATTTCAAAATCTCCGATTACTGCTTTTCCTGAAAATGCAACAGGTCTAGCTCCAAGGATGAAAGTGTAGGAACAACAAGGAGAAATGATTTCCCAGTCACTAAAGTTCTCGTTAATATACTACACTGGACCTCCTACGGGGAATTCTTAGTCAAATTGTTGCAATGGTCTCTTATTCAAACACTGAAATATTCAAAAAATTCTGTATGTTTTTTCCCAAAATAATAATCTAAGATAGCCTGGAATAAACAAGTATATAAGACGACAATCTCGTTCATTAATACAGATTTTTGCCTGTTAAATCATAAAATAATAAGGAGGCATAACTTGTATCCAGTTTACTCTTTTTTTTTTTCTTTAAATACACTATGATACACTTATTTTCAGACCTTATCTCTCTTCTCTGAGGCAACCCCAGGCTAACCTATCCTGCACAAGTTTCAGGCAGAATTAGTTAGGATTTTGCTATACTTCTAAAGCCGCTATCCCAAACCACAACAGCTACAGTGAAGAGTCACTGAACTGCTTGTCTCATTTTGAAACTATGATATATATGCGGGTATTTAGACAAGGCACTATAATTGTTCAGTGACCACTACTTTTTTTTTTTTTTAAATTACTGAACAACAATTGTCTATATTTCTTCAAACATTTTTTCACATAATTGGGGAATTGGATGAAGTTCAGCTAATTATTTTAACCAAGCAACTGCCTTTTCAAATATACAAATTGGCTGGTGAAAGAGAAGAATCATACTGTGTGCAAACAAAGACTGACGTAATCTTCCTGGTGTTTTATTTCACTACTGCCAGAGCAGATTTTATTTTCCTCCTTAATACTAATAAAGCAGACTCCCCATTGTTATATGGGCTCTGCACTTTTCCTCCGCTCCACCCTCTTCTTGAGACTAAGAACTTCCAGCTTCTTCTATTTTTTTTTAATTTAATAGTAGTAGTAATGCCATGTTTATTTTTATTATGCATCATGGACTGCAGGGAAGAAAACGAATAGAAGAAAATAGTCTTTGAACACTTTGGACAGTGACTGAAATACCACTTGGCCCTCTGTTTGAGAAGAGCAGCCTCCGCTGCTGGATGCACGCAGGCACAAGCACACAAGCCCGGTCGCGTGCTGCAGAGGACTTACAGATGCCACTTGCACGCTCAGTACCGGTCACATGCTACGAACGCACACAGACCGACCCTGAGTAACTGGGATCGGGTAAAACAGAAAAGGATTTGCAGAATTAAAAGACGCACACGAACGGGCATTTCTGAAGCTGCTGTGTCTGGGGTCCTGCTCCAGCCCCACGTCTGCCCGAGGCTGGTGGCCACCATCCAAGGCTTGCGGCCAACCCAGCACAGCAGCACCTGTATCTCTCCAGTATTTGCCCACACATCCCAAGTGTGCCAGGATGTCCTTCACGTTTGGCCACTGCATGACTCAGCCTACCCCCTGCGGGGACATCACCCTAAACCAGCCCGAGGTCCTCCTGCCTGACAGGTTGTTACTGCCCAGAGACCGAACAGCTGCAGGCACCTCTGAGCTGACCCAGAGACAGCTGGGGAAAAAGACCCCGAAAGACCCCAGAAAGTGATCTCCCTCCCACTGCTCCTGCTCCCCTCCCTCTTCCCAAAATTAGCAAATCCAGGTCTAGGACACAGATAATGGTGGCTTCTAATTGACCCCTGCCAGTAGGCTCAGAGGGATACATACTGAAGTTGAAAGGCAAATGATAAGGGACATTTGTATTTTAAAAAAATGCATTTTAAGGTCTATCTCAGACTGCTAAGGACTAGCAGGACTCAAAAAAAGAACAGTCTATTATATCCATTACTACTTTTGCAGGACACCAAAGTTAGTTTCTCCAGCCTCAGAACATAAAGCAGCTGCCACCACCCCTGCCTGCGTTTGACCTCCACAGACATGAGAAGCGCCAGACCTCTCATCCGATACCACAAGCCACACAGCAAATAAAACAAAACTTTTTGAGGTTTTGTCTCAGGTTTCTTATGCTTTCACTAAATAGCGTGGCAAAACACTCTCTGTGACAGCTAACCTAACAAGTATCCTGACTCAAACCCCCCTTTTTTTTTTACATTGCATTGCACTTTTTGTGACATTTTACTTGTTCTCTCTTTCTGTTTTTCTTTGTATTTGTTTTGCTTTTATATGATCACCTAAATAGAAGAATTTTAGTAAAAGTCAGGGGGGTTTTGGCTGGTTTTTTTCTTTGTCTGTCTTAAATATTTAGTCTTTTATCTACTTAGAAATATTGATCTCTAGTTTACCCTCAAGGAAAACCTGATGGCATTGCTTGTAGTGAGATAAAATTATACACAGAACTAGTTACTAAGTAGTTTGTTTAACATACAGCAAACCTGTAATTTCAAATCAGTTTCCCTCCTGAAAAATCAATTCAGTTGATTTATTACTTATTTACAAATTATTACTAACTAGTTAATTCATGACTGTTTAATGTAAGATAAGCATTTTGTGGGAGTTTACAGTATTCAACTTTGCATTTGATTTTTAACCCACATAGTGTGAAATAAGAGGGTACACAGCTTTCGGAAAATTCAGATGCTGATATCCAGATATTCCAATACCATGAAAGTAACAACAAAATAAAGCAAAAGAAATGGCTCACGTATTAAAAGAGATGGGGCACACAGAAATTAGGGCATGTCAACATAACATGAACAAAGTTATTTCTTCCTTACCAAATGCCTCATCTAAGAATAAATACCATCAAGTCATCACAAACGCCAGTACCACCATAGGGAAAAATGAAAACAAACCTCTATGTTGCCTTCCCCCCGCCTGTAGTTAATTCATGACTGTTTAATGTAAGATAAGCATTTTGTGGGAGTTTACAGTATTCAACTTTGCATTTGATTTTTAACCCACATAGTGTGAAATAAGAGGGTACACAGCTAGCTTTCGGAAAATTCAGATATATCCAGATATTCCAATACCATGAAAGTAACAACAAAATAAAGCAAAAGAAATGGCTCACATTAAAAGAGAGATGGGGCACACAGAAATTAGGGCATGTCAACATAACATGAACAAAGTTATTTCTTCCTTACCAAATGCCTTTTTTTCCTTCCCCCCCCCTGTTTTTTTTTAATTAAAAAAAAAAAAGGGGGGTGTGTGCAAAAACTGACCAACCAAGCCCAGTTCTACCTCTGACACAGCATATAAACTTATTGATGTGGAAAACGGAGAATGTGAAGATCTGGAATATAGGGGCATGTATCTTTATGGGGACATTTAAGAAGGTAAGTATATTTAAGTAATAAAAGGCGTGGAGCCAAAGCTCTGAATCCACTGTGTGGATATGCATTCAAAAGTGGTGTCATTAGCTCAGTTTAGCTTAATCCTCGTTCATAATAATACGCTTTAAACTTTACACCTTAAGTTAATCCATCTTAAGTTCCCCAAGTGTCTCCTTACAGGCTTAATTTAATGCCCGGCTCACATTCTGCCTGACCTTTCCCACAGCCACAGCACTGCGGGCAGGCAGAGCAGCCACAGCCAGCCCATTCTCTCCAGCTACTGCTCTGCCCAATTTCTATCTGCTCCTGCAGAGCCTCTTTGGCCACAGGTACCTTGTGTTAACTGGTCACTGAGTTGCTCACCACATCCCCACTGGAACTGAACTGCCGCTGCTTTTCCCTCCTTTCCCCCGTGAGGAAGACGAGGTGGGTACCTCCACTGGCAAAGCTCTCCAAGGTACATCAACCGCCTTGGTGGGAAGAGGGGTTTTGATCCTGCTGCTGGATTTCTCTCAATGAACTGCAGCAAACGTGTTCTTAGTTGAGAGACTCCCTGGTACTTTCCATGAGTTTGTCATCTTTTTCTCTCTACTTGATCTGGGATCTCCCCCTAACCCCATGCAATCTCTATGTCCTCGCCTCTCTCATCTCTGCCACCCTTATT